ACAGTTATGATATAAGAGGCAATAGATCATAAAATAGCTCCTAGATCCAACAAAAACTGATGCAGTTGATATTCAACCTTGTCCAACTGCTACAAGTTTTATATTCAATTTTTACCTGATACTTTTTAGTTATCTTCCATGCATTATCATCATCAAGAATCTCTTTAGCTTTCTGAGCCAAATCCCTCCAGAATCCTTGCTTGGGTTCATTCGCAGTCTTCTTTTGTGAGAACTTGTGGATGGACAAATTCTAAATCGAAAATTATACCTTAAGGGAATCATCACGACTACAAGGACCTCAAACAATTACACACTCTATGTACTTCAACAAACACCCAAATGTCTCATCATATGTATATCAAACACAACAAAGCTAAATGTCCACTTTTTTCCAAGACTTAATAAGTAGCAATGCTACAAAAATTTGAAAAAACGTACAGTTTTATAGAGAACCTCCGACAACATCGTCATGTAAGATTTTCATGTGAAAATTTCTTTCCACGGACACAAACACTCACAGAGTACGTCACATAGCAAGTACGTACATAAACATGCCCTAGCCTGTACCTCATGTCAGTAAAGAATTACCATGAGATCATTCATTAGAACAACACCGTCAAATAATCCATATGACTACAGACACAAGAATTCTAGTAAATTTATCACACTAAATCTTGTTCACATACATGATGTAATAGACTATGAGCTAACATGTAATAAAGAGTAATGCATATTCTATTTTATAAACGTCACAATGAGTCTAGAAAAGATGCACCTTTTTAATTGTCTTCTAGAAGCAAGTTTTGTGTTCGTCCATAGAAGCATGTGCGAAGTCGTCAATGTGGTCTCCCACGTGTTCGAAGAAAGTGGCACTCTCACTTTTCTTTTTTCTTCAAGAAGCCATGTTGGAGACAGAGGCTAAGCTGTTGTCTTCTCATTTGGGAGACTTTTATTAGTTGCCATTTTTCAATTAATACCTAAAAACATGCAGTACCCCATCAAATGAATTGCTTAAAGACTTCAAAATTAAACAAAATTTACAAACAGAACCGAAGATGGCAGTTACACAAAAACATAAAATGTCCCAAGTGTGACTCTAAATTGGCTAGTAAATAAAAATGCAAACATTTTTAATTACTCTAGTCCTGCACCTTTTTCTTTTGCGTTCCTCTCAGGTGGGGCCACCACTTTGATCTTCATGCTTCTCCGTGACAGAGCTATGTTGTCAGCAACAGGAACATGGAGGACCCACCACTCAGCACGATGTTTCCATATAGGTCCATCCTAATATCCACAGCACAATTCATGACTTCATGATGGTTCCAGCAGCTTTCATCTTGATCATGGATTGCTGGAAGAGGACCTCTGGGCAGCGGAACCACTTTGCCCCAATGGTAATCACCTGCCCGTCAGGTAACTCGTAGTTATTCTCAACAGCAGAGCTGGTCTCGGCAGTCTCGATCTCCTCATAGTCGATGGAAATGTAGGACAGCTTCTCCTTGTTGTCCATCACAATTTCCCGCTCAACGGTTGTGGCGAAGGAGTAACCATCAAGGGTCTGATCTCACTGCTTTATTTCACCAGACAAAAGTATAGTGGGCAGTGAATCCTACAGGTGGATTTTTGTCTAAACCACTCTCTCTGCTTCATCGTATTCTCCAATTATCTTCAAATATCAAAATCGAGATAATATTAAGATTCCTAAAGAAGCATTCGAACAAAATATTGTTAAAAAATAATTTCTCAAAAAGAAAGAACGAAAAAAGTAATCCATACCTCGTCTTTTTCACCAGGTGAAGTGATCTTGCAGCCATATGATACTCCACTATAGAATTTAGCAGGCTTTTGGTAGAAGCTGTCCTATTTTCTCCATCGTTCTATCGATATTCAATTGGATCCACCATCTAGAAAACATTTTAAGAAAATTCAATAAAAGTGGAATAGTGAAATGAAGAAGATGACAAACGAAATGAACAAACCTTCTGCAATTTCTTTTAACTTTTTAGTATACACAAATTCACACTCATCTTCTCCATCTTCATAAAGCCATTCTTCACTTTGTTGCAAATTGCTCGAAATTCCTTCCTTTTCGACATCAGTGGCGAAGCTCTGAGATGAACTTAGAAGCTGAATAAATGGTTCATAATTCTCAACATAAGTATTAAATTGTAAAAGTATTTGGAGGTAGAAAAATTTAACCAATAGTTTTAATATCATTAGACAATACAAAACAGTTAAAAAAGTATAGAAGGGGTAGATTTTGGAAAAATTTCAGATATCCAATGATTTAGATTAAAGTTATCTAAGACAAGAAGTTCAACCTGAGGACCCAACACTAAGTATCAACAATAGAAGATATATAGCCTCAGGACAGAATCGAAACTTCCAAAACATATTTTATAAAACATATTTCACAAATCGGCCACGACATCTCGGTTGGCTGCCAGTGCCTTCCTGCATGCATACTTTAAACAAAAGAACATTTTGCAACTTGATATATGTTTTAAGGAAAAAAATAAGATTGTAATATTTGATTTTGCACATTGATTTCGTAGGTAAGAAAAGGCCTTGCAGTAAGATCACACATCAGAGCAAAAAAGTAAAATTTAATTTAAGTATTCGACATAATTTACTAACAACCAAACATTGTTCATGTTGTCTTAAAATATGATCTGCTTATGGTTCTGCTTGATTTGATCAAGAATCTGTAAAGAAAGAGTTGTACTCTAGATTTCATATTCTATATTCGGTCGGGTTTTACACGGAAATAAAAGCAAAACACAAAATATCAACAAAAGTAAGCAAAACAATAACAAAATAATAATTAGAAGCACATTCAAAAATTCACCTTGATTTTCCTATCAAAATTCCTCCACTATTTCTTGCTCCAGCAACGGGACAACTTTTCCTTCCGTTTTTCAGAAGCAGTCATGCTCGGGACTTTAGGATGTCCGACTGGCTACTGAACCTAGCTTACATTACCGTTATTATCGAGAGTCTGTCATAAAAACTCAGAATCAATGACCCTTGACCCAATCTAGTCGAGGCCAGAAAGAAACACAATCTATACATTTCTTAGTCATTAAAAACATTTTTGTGATACCAATAAACGGCGTGTATGTCATCTCCCCTGAAGTTAGCGTATATATTTAGCTGATATATTGAACGTCTATAACTTTTATATATCTGACTTTGAGCTAC